CTTTTTAAAAAATTCATTTGTTCATTCATTTTTTTTTTTTTAGAGACAGGGTCTTGCTCTGTTAACAAGGATGAAATGCAGAGGCATTATCATAGTTCACTGTAACCCTGAATTCCTGGGCTCAAGCAATCCTCCTGCCTCAGCCTCCCAAACAGCGAGGACTACAGGTGTGCGCCACCAGACCCAGCTAATTTTTTTCATTTTTGTAGATACAGGGGTCTTGCTATGTTGCCTAGGCTGGTCATGAGAACTCCTGGCCTCAAGTGATCCTCCTGTCTTGGCTGCCCAAAGTGCTGGGATTATAGGTGTGAGCCACTGTGTCCAGCCTAAAAAACATCTTTTAAAGGCACCAACATCCCCAGTGATATAGCTACTTTTTAAAATACTTATTTTAAAATTGTGGTATAAAAATTTAAGCATACAAAAAGGTTGAAAAAATTTTACCATGAATACCTTCTATCCACCATCATTTTACTCTGCTGGGATGAATACACACACACACATATGTGTATGTATACATGTATGCATATGTATTTATATACATAACACATCTCTATCCATTTTGCTTTTGCTGTATTTCAAAGTAAATTAGAGATATCAGCATATGCCCCCCTTTTAAAAAAATGGACATGCAATGAAATGCACAAATCTTTAGCATATTTGTTCAGTTTTGTCAAATGCATTCACCACTGTAACTCAAATCCCTATCAAGACTAGAACAGTGGTTCTCAATCTATAAACTCCATCAGAATCATCTGGAGAGATTCTTAAAATATAGAATGATGAGCCTCACCCTTAGAGCTACTGATTCATTATGTCTGGGGGTAGGGCCTGAGAATTTGCATATTTAACAAATCCCTAGGTAATGCTGATAACTTTCAGAACCACTGATATAGGCCATTATTATCACCCCTGAAAGTTTCCTCATGTTCTTTCCCAGTCAGTCCCCAGTCCCCTGCAACCACCCTTCTGATTTTGTCCAATATGAAATAGTTTTGCCTCTCCTAGAACTTTGTATAAATGGAATCATAATATGTACTCTTCTGAATAAAGCTTCTTTGACTTTGCATTAATGTTTTTATTATTCATCTATGTAGCTGTATGTATTGTTTATCCTGTTTTGGTATGGAGTACTATTAAGTCGTATGGAATTATCAGCTTGTTTATCCATTCACTGGCTGATGGAGATAGAGTTTTTGACTGTAAACTTCAAGAAGGAGATCTTGCTTTGGATTACAAAGGCTAAGAACAGATGACATATGGGTTATTCTTAATTTTTTTTTCACTGCCTGTATTTTCCTAATAAACCAAAAAAGGGCCATTCTTAGACTACAAGCAATTATAATGAATGGCGTTGTAAAATCAATTCGATTTTTGTATACCTATCATAGGGCTATGACAGTGCTTTTTGAAGGCTGTTATGCAGAGCTTCTTAGGAAAGTAATAAGTTTATGGTAGTGTTTTAAACTAATTGGAGTATTTTTAGAAATAAAAAATGTGAGGACCTTCATGATAGAAGTTATTCGTCTACATACTACTGAAAAATGACAATAAACTATGAATTCATTAAAGGTTATAAAGGAAATGACAGCTTTATACATTTAAAAATGATATACTAATGCAATTATTTAGTCAATGGACAGAGTTTGGTGCATGTATGAATTTGAAGCTATTTCTTGTAGGACTTCAAATTTCCCTAGGAAAACA